CTTGGCCACAGTAACCGGAGAAGGGCAAACTGTATGTTCTCATTCATTTGGGGAATATGAATAATAGTGAAAGGGAATATAAGGGAAGGGAGAAGAAATGTGTGGGAAATATCAGAAAGGGACACAGAACATAAAGACTCCTAACTCTGGGAAATGAACTAGGGGTGGTGAAGGGGGAGGAGGGTGGGGGGTGGGGGTGAATGGGTGACCGGCACTGAGGGGGACACTTGACGGGATGAGCACTGGGTGTTATTCTGTATGTTGGTAAATTGAACACCAATAAAAATTAATCTATAAAAAAAAAGAAATCAAGAGTTGGTTTCTTAACTAACTGAGCCTCCTAGGTGTCCCTAGATTTTCCAAATTTTGATAATATTAATTGGTTCTCTACTATGAGAAATGAAGAGATTAGTACAATTATACTTTTTCTCTCTCTTACTCCTCATTCTCATTTTTGGTGGATATTTACTTTGTTAGGAGTTATTTTTTAAGTATATCTATTTTTTCTACATTCAAAAATCTCTCAGATTTTGGACTCTGTTTTCTCTATCTTGCCCATATTTCATATTTGAGAAGTATTTTCATGGATGCTACTTCTGTGAACATTTTGGTAGTCCTAAAATGCAGTCTAGTTAAATTTAAAAGCTTCATCAGTAATTTTTACTGTTCTTACTGTTCAAAGTTGCTTTTCTTTTGAGCAAATAACACATCCCAAGAATGAGGAATGAGAATCATTAGCAAGAATTTCATATATTTAAATACTTGAAAAAATGTTTTTAGCATACAGAATGTCATACTGATGATTTTTTGCTTTGTCCTCTGAGGACTCTTCCTCCAGATCATTGTGAAGAAATTAAAATTTTTTACCATATTTTCTATTCTATTCTAAATTATATATAAATTCAGAGTATCTCAATAGAAGCTCAAATACCCCCATTTTAATGTCATGCTTTATTCTTAACAGAAATGTGTACAAAACAGAGAAAAGCCTTGATCAGTCATTAAAGGGGGTGTCTGTATGACCAATATTTCAAGTGATTTCCTTGTTTGGAGAGGGCTGCCTAACCTTGGGCAATGCACCATGTTAAGTTTTGGGTTGGGTAATTTCTTTGTTTAACTGGAAGAAGGGCTTACTTTATTTATTTCTTTTTATTTTTTTTGATGTTTTGAAATTCATATTTTTTTTAAATTAAATTTATTTTTTATTGGTGTTCAATTTGTCAACATACAGAATAACACCCAGTGCTCATCCTGTCAAGTGCCCACCTCAGTGCCCGCGACCCAGTCACCCCCACCCCCCACCCCCCGTCCCCTTCCACCACCCCTAGTTCATTTCCCAGAGTTAGGAGTCTTTCATGTTCTGTCTCCCTTTCTGATATATCCCACTTATTTTTTCTCCTTTCCCCTTTATTCCCTTTTATTATTTTTTATATTCCCCAAATGAATGAGACCATATAATTTTTGACCCTCTCTGATTGACTTATTTCAGTCAGCATAATACCCTCCAGTTCCATCCACGTTGAAGCAAATGGTGGGTATTTGTCATTTCTAATGGCTGAGGAATATTCCATTGTATACATAAACCACATCTTCTTTTTTTTATAAATTTATTTTTTATTGGTGTTCAATTTACCAACATACAGAATAACACCCAATGCTCATCCCGTCAAGTGCCCCCCTCAATGCCTGTCACCCAGTCACCCCCTCCGCACCCTCCTCCCCTTCCACCACCCCTAGTTCGTTTCCCAGAGTTAGGAGTCTCTCATGTTCTATCTTCCTCTCTGATATTTCCCACTCATTTTTTTCTCCTTTCCCCTTTATTCCCTTTCACTATTTTTTATATTCCCCAAATGAATGAGACCATATAATGTTTGTCTTTCTCCGATTGACTTATTTCACTCAGCATAATACCCCATCCATGTCGAAGCAAATGCTATCACTCACTAGATAATTTTGAAATATTTTCTCCCATTTGGTTAGAGATTTACCTTATGCAATTGCCAGATGTTACAAGTTGACACTCTTAAAATACTGTATTTTAAACCATTTGGTTCAAATGGAGTCCCCACATTGTAACATGTGTGGCTGTGGGGTTGTAGTGGAATGGCTCATCAGGATAGATTGGTTTAACCCTTGATTTTTTTTTAAATTTTTTATTTATATTTATGATAGTCACACACACAGAGAGAGAGAGAGGCAGAGACACAGGCAGAGGGAGAAGCAGGCTCCATGCACCAGGAGCCCGACGTGGGATTCGATCCCGGGTCTCCAGGATCGCGCCCTGGGCCAAAGGCAGGCGCTAAACCACTGCGCCACCCAGGGATCCCTAACCCTTGATTTTATTAAAGAGTATTAACACCAACTACTTGGTTGATCTTAATGTATTCGGCTGGAAACTCTGTCAATTAATATAACTTTATATCTGTACCTGTTGAGAGAGAAGGATCTAAGGTGAAGTAATTCATTAATTCTGATTTTTTGATGCAGGTTTTATTCAGAGTTTGAACTAAAATCTCTGAAACTAACAACCTTGGTCACCACTTTGATTCACAGGAGACTAGTCTGCCTGAGTTGCTTTTTACTATCACAAAATTGACTTTGGGGGGAAGACATAACAACAAGCAGCCTTATGAAATTGCTATCTATATTTGCTACAGGAATATTACTGAGGTCGTCATGTACTCGAACTGTTCCTTACGTGCAGTCCACTGGATGATTTCTTTCAGAACTGAGTTCTATAAAGTCTTTGCTTGGCCTGAGAAACTATTATGGGGGAAATAAATACTGTGCAACTGACTTTTCTTTCGGGCTGTGTTTTCCAAGAAGCACATAGCCAAACTTGTGTCCTTCCTGTAGCCAATTATGTTTTTTTTAATAAATTAATTTTTTATTGGTGTTCAATTTAACAACATACAGAATAACACCCAGTGCTCATCCCGTCAAGTGTCCCCCTCAGTGCCCATCACCCATTCACCCCTACCCCCTGCCCTCCTCCCCTGCCACCACCCCTAGTTCATTTCCCAGAGTTAGGAGTCTTTATGTTCTGTCTCCCTTTCTGATATTTCCCACACATTTCTTCTCCCTTCCCTTATATTCCCTTTCACTATTATTTATATTCCCCAAATGAATGAGAACGTACACTGTTTGTCCTTCTCCGATTGACTTACTTCACTCAGCATAATACCCTCCAGTTCCATCCACGTTGAAGCAAATGGTGGGTATTTGTCGTTTCTAATGGCTGAGGAATATTCCATTGTATACATAAACCACATCTTCTTTATCCATTCATCTTTCAATGGACACCGAGGCTCCTTCCACAGTTTGGCTATTGTGGACATTGCTGCTAGAAACATCGGGGTGCAGGTGTCCCGGCATTTCATTGCATCTGTATCTCTGGGGTAAATCCCCAACAGTGCAATTGCTGGGTCGTAGGGCAGGTCTATTTTTAACTCTTTGAGGAACCTCCACACAGTTTTCCAGAGTGGCTGCACCAGTTCACATTCCACCAACAGTGCAAGAGGATTCCCCTTTCTCCACATCCTAACATTTGTGGCCTGCCTTGTTAATTTTCCCCATTCTCACTGGTGTGAGGTGGTATCTCATTGTGGTTTTGATTTGTATTTCCCTGATGGCAAGTGATGTGGAGCATTTTCTCATGTGCTTGTTGGCCATGTCTCTGTCTTCCTCTGTGAGATTTCTGTTCATGTATTTTTCCCATTTCATGATTGGATTGTTTGTTTCTTTGGTGTTGAGTTTAAGAAGTTCTTTATAGATCTTGGAAACTAGCCCTTTTTCTGATACGTCATTTGCAAATATCTTCTCCCATGCTATAGGTTGTATTTTGGTTTTGTTGACTGTATCCTTTGCTGTGCAAAAGCTTCTTATCTTGATGAAGTCCCAATAGTCCATTTTTGCTTTTGTTTCTTTTGCCTTCATGGATGTATCTTGCAAGAAGTTACTGTGGCCGAGTTCACAAAGGGTGTTGCCTGTGTTCTCCTCTAGGATTTTGGTGGAATCTTGTCTCACATTTATATCTTTCTTCCATTTTGAGTTTATCTTTGTGTATGGTGCAAGAGAGTGGTCTAGTTTCATTCTTCTGCATGTGGATGTCCAATTTTCCCAGCACCATTTATTGAAGGGCTTGTTTTAAGTGCAGCATGTGTTCTTAGAAAACTTTAAGGAAAGAATACATGTAGAAGTTGAGGAGTTTGGAAATTTATTTCCTTAAGCCTTCTGGATCTGCTCTGGACACTCAACAATACCTGAATAGGCATTTCCTTCCTGGTCCTTACACTACCTTATCTCTCCTGCCAGTCTGCCAACCCTAGCAGGGCTTCTCCGGTGGGCCTGGTCTCTTACTCCCATTCCTGCCTTCAGACTTGCCTGACCCAGCCCAGATCCCTGTAGAGTGGAGATGCCTTGCGGCCCTTGGGTCAGGTTCTGCTCTTCTGTGGGACCTGATATTTTTCAGATCTTTGCTATTAAATAATAAACAAAAAAAAAGTCTATCCAGGGATCTAAGTGAATGAAACCAGCTTCAGGGCAGGGAGACACTCAACAGTGATGGGAACTCTCATGAACTGACTCGCATGTGTCCAGTCCAGAACGAGATGACAACTATTCAGATCTGGCTGACCGTTGAGAGAGGATGTTGGCCCAGGGTTTAGGGATATTGGGCTTGAAAGAAAACAGAAATCCAGGTACTGTATTTGGGTTATCACCTTCTGATTCCTAAAAAATTTTTAACTAATACATATTTTCAATAGTGTGAACCGGTGGTTGGTGTGCAGGCCAAATGCACATACCAGTACACCTGCTAGTCAATTTTGAACTTCTGGTTTCTATATGTGACCAGTGACCTGACCTAAATTTAATACCAATCAAGTTTACTCTTTCTTTTTTTTTCATTTTTTTACTAATAAATTTATTTTTTATTGGTGTTCAATTTGCCAACATAAAGAATAACACCCAGTGCTCATCCCATCAAGTGCCCCTCTCAGTGCCCGTCACCCAATCATCCCCACCCCCTGCCCTCCTCCCCTTCCACCACCCCTAGTTCATTTCCCAGAGTTAGGAATCTTTATATTCTGTCTCCCTTTCTGATATTTCGTACTCATTTCTTCTCCCTTCCCTAATATTCCCTTTCACTATTATTTATATTCCCCAAATGAATGAGAACATATAATGTTTGTCCTTCTCTGATTGACTTATTTCACTCAGCATAATACCCTCCAGTTCCATCCACGTTGAAGCAAATGGTGGGTATTTGTCATTTCTAATGGCTGAGGAATATTACATTGTATACATAAACCACATCTTCTTTATCCATTCATCTTTCGATGGACACCGAGGCTCCTTCCACAGTTTGGCTATCATGGACATTGCTGCTATAAACATCGGGGTGCAGGTGTTTACTCTTTCATCAAAGTCTCTCTCTCTCTCCTTCTCTCATTTCACTTCCTATACTTGTTTTCTCTACTTGGTAACTCAAACCAGACATGTAGACACCTTTGTCTCATTCAATCACTGTATAACATCTAGACCCAAATCTATTCAGAAATACGTTCTGTATCCAGCCCCTCTTGTGCACCCCAGGTAACCTCTGTCATCTTTTACCTGAATTACTATAGTAGTTTCCAAACTGGTCCTCATGCTTCCAGTCTTGCTCCACTGCCACAAAAAAAATCTTTCCAAAATGAATATATGATCATGTGATTTTGATAATTCATTGCCTTGCAAGGCGTGTAAGGTTTGTTTTGACTCAGCCTCTGTCTATCCTTCTGGCATAATTTCTTGCCATGCTACCATTTACAACCTGTGTCTTAGCTATGTGGAATTATTTTCAGATTGCCTGAGCTGACTATGGTCTTTCTTACTTTAAAACCTTACACATACATCATATTATTTTTATGCAGAAATTACTTTTATTATGTTAGAATATTCCTTAATGGTTTGGCAATTATTCATGTGAAGGAGAGTTCAGAAAACAGATTTATGACTGTATTAGCCTTGTCCTTGATTAGAGATTTATGAATTATACAAAAAATATTATTCCCTAGAGAAGGTTACTCTAAAAGTAGTAGTAGAAAAGGTCTAAGAGACTGTGAACTTAGAAGAACATCTCCCTGCTTGTCTGGCTGTTCCAGGTGGACCACAAGACTTCAGTACAAGGATGGACATGTTTTCTTTGTGAATTTAAAGCTTTACAACAGTTCAAATGCTCTTTCTTGCATGCAACAGGTCAAAGGCTTCATTAATTTGGTCAAAAGACAGACTGTGAGTCACAAATTCATCAACTTTTATCTTTCTGGACATATATTCAGACACCAACTTTGGGACACTTTCCACACTCTTCCATCCTCCAAAGGCAGTGCCTTTCCATACCTGCCCTGTTACCAGCTGAAATGGACGAATGGCGATTTCTTCACCTGAAGCAGCTACTCCAGCTATGACGCTGACACCCCAGCCTTTGTGGCAGGCCTCTAGCGCTGCTCTCATGACTTTCACGTTACCAATACACTCAAAGGAATAGTTCACTCCCCCATCAGTCATTTCAATGAGCACTTCCTGGATGGGTTTACTGAAGTCCTGGGGGTTAATACATTCTGAGTCTCCAAACTCCTTGGCCCTTGAGAATTTATCTTTGTTGATGTCCACACCAATGATCCGGGATGCACCAGCCACCTTACAGCCCATGATAGTCGCCAATCCAACTCCTCCTAGGCCAAAGATGGCACAAGTAGAGCCAGGCTCCACCTTGGCAGTGTTCAGAGCAGCACCATAACCAGTTGAAATGCCACAACCGAGAAGGCAGACTTTATCCAAAGGTGCTAAAGGATCAATTTTAGCAACAGAGATATCAGCCACAACTGTATATTCAGAAAATGTGCTGGTTCCCATATAATGTAAAATTGTCTTTCCTTTGTGAGTAAATCTGCTAGTACCATCTGGCATTAATCCTTTCCCCTGTGTAACTCTTATCTTCTGGCAAAGGTTTGTTTTAGGATTTAGACAAAATTTGCATTCTCCACACTGTGGGATGTAAAGTGGGATGACAGTGTCACCTGCCTTCAGCTTAGTAACTCCTTCGCCAACACTTTCCACAATTCCAGCACCTTCATGTCCCAGGATCACTGGAAAACTCCCTTCAGGATCAGCTCCACTCAGGGTGTAGGCATCGGTGTGGCAAACTGCAGTGGCCATAATCTTAATTAGAACTTCATGAACCTTTGGGGGTGCCACCTCTACCTCTTCTATAGAGAGAGGCTTTCCTGCCTCCCAGGCAACTGCAGCCTTGCACTTGGTAACCTGGTTCGCCATGTCCTCTGCTTCCCACATACTTCATATTTATATATGCCTAGAGTAGTCTTCCCAAGCAACCCTGAATCACTCCTGGCCATTTCTCTTCTTAAGAATTATTTGAATCCTTCACTTTTAATCAGCCAGCTAATCACTTCACTGCACACACGGTCTCTTGGTCATGTGTATGACAGCACTTTCCATGACATTCATATCCGTTGCTTTCTCATATATTAGTCTCCCTGATAAACATGTAAACTCCTAAAGGACAGGGACAGTGTCTTTCTCATATTTGTAACTTTAGTACTAAGTAGAGTATCTGTAAGTAGTTATTAACTACTTTCCAATGAATGAATGAGTGAATGAATGACCCTGATGTTGCATTGACAACACCCACATTATCTGGATCATCTGGATTCTCTCATCAAACTAATCAGAGAGGGATTGCAGATTAGCCTATCCCATGTTCTCAGATTACTTGTTGAGGGAGAGCTGTGGAAATGTATTTTGTCACACATAGGTGTGGCACAACCATTTTTCCCACAGGCTGTGGTGGCTGAGTCTGATGAAACTTGTCAGGAAAGATGTTAGGTGCAGTGGGACAAGGATTTGGAAAAAAAGAACAATAGGAACTAGACAATAATGTTACTGGAAAGGAAAGGCTCTCATCCCCCTACTAATCCAAATACTCAAATCTAGAGTTTATGTGTGTGCTTTCAGAGGTGACATAACCCTCCTGCAGCCCCTGGAATTGCACCAATTGGATACAATTACAGGTGCTAATGCATTTTCCTTTGTACCTAACCATTACTTCATCTTTGAATTCACATTCTTGGTTTTGTCAGTGTAAACCTAAATAAAATATATCTCTATATTTTTAAAATAAATTTATTTTTATTGGTGTTCAATTTGCCAACATATAGAATAACACCCAGTGCTCATCCCATCAAGTGCCCCCCTCAGTGCCCATCACCCCCACCCCCCGCCCACGTCCCCTTCCACTACCCCTAGTTAGTTTCCCAGAATTAGGAGTCTCTCATGTTGTCTCCCTCCCTGATATTTCCCACTCATTTTTCTCCTTTCCCCTTTATTCCCTTTCACTATTTTTTATATTCCCCAAATGAATGAGACTATATAATTTTTGTCCTTCTCTGATTGACTTATTTCACTCAGCATAATACCCTCCAGTTCCATCCACATCGAAGCAAATGGTGGGTATTTGTCATTTCTAAAGGCTGAGTAATATTCCAGAAGTCAGTGGCATTTCTATACACTAACAATGAGACTGAAGAAAGAGAAATTAAGGAGTCAATCCCATTTAGAATTGCACCCAAAAGCATAAGATACCTAGGAATAAACCTAACCAAAGAGGTAAATAATCTATACCCTAAAAACTACAGAACGCTTCTGAAAGAAATGGAGGAAGACACAAAGAGATGGAAAAATATTCCATGCTCATGGATTGGAAAAATTAATATTGTGAAAATGTCAATGTTACCCAGGGCAATTTACATGTTTAATGCAATCCCTATCTATGCATTTTTTTAGTGCTACCTGGAATAAATTAATTTCAATGAGGTGTGATTTGATTATTGGTTGTTTGGTTTTTAAGACACCCAGTCAGAGGAGCAATTCAACAATATCAGAGCTGATAAAATTCATCTTGAGAATTTGAGGAAGAAGAGGCTTAATGGTCTTATTAAAGTCCTCTTTACAAAAAAGAAAGATACTGCTTAGTGAGGTATTGAGAAGATGTTCATATTTTAAAAATCCAAAAACTGCAAAAATGAACTATTGGGACTTCATCAAGAAGCTTTTGCACAGCAAAGGATACAGTCAACAAAACTCAAAGACAACCTACAGAATGGGAGAAGATATTTGCAAATGACGTATCAGAAAAAGGGCTAGTTTCCAAGATCTATAAAGAACTTCTTAAACTCAACACCAAAGAAACAAACAATCCAATCATGAAATGGGAAAAATACATGAACAGAAATCTCACAGAGGAAGACAGAGACATGGCCAACACGCACATGGGAAAATGCTCTGCATCACTTGCCATCAGGGAAATACAAAACAAAACCACAATGAGATACCACCTCACCCCAGTGAGAATGGGGAAAATTAACAAGGCAGGAAACCACAAATGTTGGAGAGGATGTGGAGAAAGGGGAACCCTCTTACACTGTTGGTGGGAATGTGAACTGGTGCAGCCACTCTGGAAAACTGTGTGGAGGTTCCTCAAAGAGTCAAAAATAGACCTGCCTTACGACCCAGCAATTGCACTGTTGGGGATTTACCCCAAAGATACAGATGCAATGAAACACCGGGACACCCGCACCCCGATGTTTATAGCAGCAATGTCCACAATAGCCAAACTGCGGAAGGAGCCTCGGTGTCCATCGAACGACAAACAGATATAGAAGATGTGGTGTATGTATACAATGGAATATTCCTCAGCCATTAGAAATGACAAATACCCGCCATTTGCTTCGACGTGGATGGAACTGGAGGGTATGATGCTGAGTGAAGTAAGTCAATCAGAGAAGGACAAACATTATATGTTCTCATTCATTTGGGGAATATAAATAATAGTGAAAGGGAATATAAGGGAAGGGAGAAGAAATGTGTGGGAAATATCAGAAAGGGAGACAGAACATAAAGACTCCTAACTCTGGGAAACGAACTAGGGGTGGTGGAAGGGGAGGAGGGCGGGGGGTGGGGGTGAATGGGTGGTGGGCACTGAGTGGGGAATTTGACGGGATGAGCACTGGGTGTTATTCTGTATGTTGGTAAATTGAACACCTATAAAAATAAATTTATTAAAAAAATAAAAAAATCCAAAAACTATCATTTATCTATCAATTATCTATCTATATCTATCTATCATCTATCTATCTATCTATCATCTATCTATCTATCTATCTATCTATCTATCTATCTATCTATCTATCATCTATCATCTATCTATCATCTATCTATGTCATCTATCAATCATATATCAATCAACTATCTACAACCTACCTGCTTACCTATTTAACTAAGTGACATGAACTTTTACAGAAAGGAAGGTAAGGGAAACCAATGCTGGATGTGTGCTTTCTGGGTGTCAAAGTTCTGTATTGTGTAGCCCAAGGGATAGATGATACCTGGGTTTTTGGGTGCCGGCCGGGGGGGTAGATCTGTCTTCGAATATTGCCTTGCTGCTTACGAGCTACATGGAGTAAGTTTTCTGTTTTGTTTTTAACTTCCCTAAATCTCATTTGTCTATAAGGTATGGATAATTTTTTAATAAATTTATTTTTTATTGGTGTTCAACTTGCCAACATACAGAATAACACCCAGTGTTCATCCCATCAAGTGCCCTCCTCAGTGCCCGTCACCTAGTCACCCCCAACCCCACCCACCTCCCCTTCTACCACCCCTAGTTCGTTTCCCAGAGTTAGGAGTCTCTCATGTTCTGTCTCCCCTTCTGACATTTCCCACCCATTTCTTCTCCCCTCCCCTCCATTCCCTTTCACTATTATCTATATTCCCCAAATGAATGAGACCATATAACGTTTGTCCTTCTCCGATTGACTTATTTCACTCAGCATAATACCCTCCAGTTCCATCCACGTCGAAGCAAATGGCAGGTATTTGTCATTTCTAATGGGTGAGTAATATTACATTGTATACATAGACCACATCTTCTTTATCCATTCATCTTTTGATGGACACCGAGGCTCCTTCCACAGTTTGGCTATCATGGACATTGCTGCTAGAAACATCGGGGTGCAGGTGTCCCGGCGTTTCATTGCACCTGAATCTTTGGGGTAAATCCCCAACAGTGCAATTGCTGGGTCATAGGGCAGATCTATTTTTAACCCTTTAAGGAACCTCCACACAGTTTTCCAGAGTGGCTGCACCAGTTCACATTCCCACAACAGTGCAAGAGGGTTCCCTTTTCTACCCATCCTCTCCAACATTTGTGGTTTCCTGCCTTGTTAATTTTCCCCATTCTCACTGGTGTGAGGTGGTATCTCATTGTGGTTTTGATTTGTATTTCCCTGATGGCAAGTGATGCAGAGCATTTTCTCATGTGCTTGTTGGCCATGTCCTGTCTTCCTCTGTGAGATTTCTGTTCATGTCTTTTGCCCATTTCATGATTGGATTGTTTGTTTCTTTGCTTTTGGTTTTAACAAATTCTTTAAAGGTCTTAGACTCTGGCCCTTTATCTGATATGTCATTTTGCAAATATCTTCTCCCATTCTGTAGGTTGTCTTTTAGTTTTGTTGATTGTTTTCTTTACTGTGCAGAAGCTTTTTATCTTGATGAAGTCCCAATAGTTCATTTTTGCTTTTGTTTCTCTTGCCTTCATAGATGTATCTTGCAAAAAGTTACTGTGGCCGCATTCAAAAAGGGTGTTGCCTGTGTTCTCTAGGATTTTGATGGATTCTTGTCTCACATTTAGATCTTTCATCCATTTTGAGTTTATCTTTGTGTATGGTGTAAGAGAATGGTCTAGTTTTATTCTGCTGCATGTGGCTGTCCAATTTCCGTGGCACCATTTATGGTGGCACTATTTATTCTCTCAGAAGAGACTGTCATTTTTCCAGTGGGTTGTCTTTCCTGCCTTGTCAAATATTAGTTGACCATAGAGTTGAGGGCCTATTTCTGGATTCTCTATTCTGTTCCATTGATTTATGTGTCTGTTTTTGTGCCAGTACCACACTGTCTTGATGACCACAGCTTTGTAGTACAACTTGGAGTTTGGCATTGTGATACTCCTGGCATTGGTTTTCTTTTTCAATATTACCCTGGCTATTTGGGGTCTTTTGAGATTCCACACAAATCTTCAGATGAATTGTTCAAACTCTCTGAAGCAAGTCCATGGTGTTTTGATAGGGATGGCATTAAATGTGTAAATTTCCCTGGGTAGGATGGACATTTTCACAGTATTAATTCTTCCAATCCATGAGCATGGAATATTTTTCCATCTGTCTTCCTAGATTTCTTTCAGAAGTGTTCTGTAGTTTTTAGGGTATAGATCATTTACCTCTTTGGTTAGGTTTATTCCTAGGTATCTTATGCTTTTGGGTGCAATTATATATGGGATTGACTCCTTAATTTCTCTTTCTTCAGTCTCATTGTTAGCGTATAGAAATGCCACTGATTTCTGGGCATTTTTTTGTATCCTGCCACACTGCCAAATTGCTGTATGAGTTCTAACAATCTTGGGGTGGAGTCTTTTGGGTTTTCTATGTAGAGTATCATGTCATTGGCGAAGAGGGAGAGTTTGACTTCTTTGCCAGTTCGAATGCCTTTAATGTCTTTTGTTGTCTGATTGCTGAGGCTAGGACTTCCAGTACTATATTGAATAGCAGTGGTGAGAGTGGACATCCCTGTCTTGTTCCTGATCTTAGGGGAAAGGCTCCCAGTGCTTCCCCATTGAAAATGATATTTCCTCTGGGCTTTTCGTAGATGGCTTTTAAGATGTTGAGGAATGTTCCCTCTATCCCTACACTCTGAAGAGTTTTGATCAGGAATGGATGCTGTATTTTGTCAAATGCTTTCTCTGCATCTATTGAGAGGATCATATGTTTCTTGTTTTTTCTCTTGCTGATACGATCAATCACATTGATTGCTTTATGAGTGTAGAACCAGCCTTGCATCCCGGGGATAAATCCCACTTGGTCATGGCAAATAATCTTCTTAATGTTGTGATGGATCCTATTGGCTAGTATCTGTTGAGAATTTTTGCATCCATTTTCATCATGGATATTGGTCTATAATTGTCCTTCTTGTTGGGGTCTTTGTCTGGTTTTGGAATTAAGGTGATGCTGGCCTCATAGAACGAATTTGGAAGTACTCCATCTCTTTTTCTATCTTT